AGAGATTTCGTAGTTCCATCAATTATGTCAAATCGTTCAGGTCCTGAAGAAGTCAAACAGGCCATCACACTGCCACATGTCTCACTGCTGGTATGATGTTCTTTTTATGAAGTGCTGCTTTCATTTTATGCCCGATGTAAACTTGTTGCTGTTGTCTCATTAGTCCCCAAAAGTCTTGGGGATCATCAAGATGTTTTTTGCATTTGTGAGACGAGCCTTTGTGCTCTTTGTGTCCAGCAGGGTTTTCTCCTTGGAACACTTTAGTGGATGCTGATCGTCTTTCTTGTTGTTGAATCATGAACACTGATCATAACTGAAGAGAGTGAGGGCTGCAGCTCATGAGATCATTTCTGGCTTCTTTTTGTGACTTCCTGGATGCGTTGTTGAAGCCTCATTCTAAATGAAATCCTCTCCAGACCGAAATATCTCAATGACTGTTTCTTGAGTTTCTTTGGGTCCTGATGAGATTTGTTGGTTTATTAAACCTATTTAGGCATCTTTACTTTGTCTGACAGACAGTAACGGGTCTGGCAGTGGCCTGAGTGTGGCTACTGAAACTAAACTTGGCTTTCCAACAAAATGTGATCACAGTTGAGTTAACAAGAGAGGGCCACTACTGTTCTACTCATGTACGTTTTAGCTTTCTTCACTTAATACATTAAATCATCATTTCAAAAGCACATTTTATATTTACTCAATTTAACTTGTATAATATAATAATAGGAATCTGATATATCTGCTTTTTTGTTTGTTCTTTTAATTTGTTACTTAATAACAATAAGTATCTGATTAACAATAATTATCAACTAACAGACAAGAATGAGTTTGTGTAAAGTTTATAACTAGCTAGCATTAGTAGCATTAGCACTTCACTAAAAAAAATAATTGTCATTAAAGATTGTCATTATTATTGATACACAATCTATTTCCAAATGCAAGAATGCTAACTGCTGAATTTAAAAGGCTGACAATTAGGGAGCTGATTATTTAGGCCTAGAGACCAGTTCCTAAACGGTTTGTGGCATTAGCTGGGAAATCAATTGCTAAACCCCAAATTAAACAAACCTAGAGACTGCTCAGTGACCACCTGACGATGGGGAAAAGTGTGCACACTTTTGGAGAGTGGTTGCTGGAGATTGCCAGCAATTGCTAGCTTGAAATTGGTTGCAAAGATAAATATACAGTGCGGCACCCAAAATCTCTTTGGAACTGATCAGATCATTAGCAGGTTTTTGTATTTATCCAGTGGAAGTGTAAGAAGTACGACCCAAACCAGAAGCACAGAGTGTTTGGCCTTAAAGTAAAAACAGCGTCTTTTGAAATGTGTTGGTTACAGAACAACATTTACGTAGAAGGCCAGTGTTCTCAGTTTGCGGTTTATGTCACACGAGTTTCATTACCGATTGAAGAGCAAATGGCAAGTGTTTGCAGACAAGTTGGAGGCTTTCATCCAAATAACAGGCAACTGCAGCAACCACATCAGCCTCTTTGCAACTGATATCACCTGGTGACAACCAGCAACCACTTGCCAATCAGTGAGGGACAACATGATTTATCCTGCTAAATGAGCTGTCTCTTCATTTCAAAGACTGTGATGTTGTGAGTAGTTGTAGGGAAACAGTTATTTCAACGGTAGCTTGTGTGAGTTGTGTGGTTTATGGTAATCCCACACACCGCACGATTAAGTTGAATTATACATTGTAAAGTCCACTCACTGGAGTTCACAGTGAGTGGACTTTACAATGATTTGTTGATTAAAAATGAAGCGCTTTGTTTGCGTGGTCGATGTGCAGTTGTGTTTTGTAATATTGTTGACACACATTTTCATGGGAATTTGAAGGAATTCAAAGTTTTGTTTTTTCGATTACACTCTAAAGAATATTTTATGATCGCCGCCACTCTTTCTGTCACAGGAGCAGCAAGCTCTGTAGTTTAATATGAGATAATAATTTGATGTAATCCCAACAGTAATGAGAGCAGTACATGGGGTGCAGACTGTATATCAAGGTCATGTTTGCCCAGGGGAGGAACCAGTGCTCTTAGCTCGGAGCAGGCATAGAGCATGATGGGATGCTATATTAAGAAGCTGCTAAAATAACTGCTAACATAACTGTGCATCAGAAAGGGAGTCTGAGACGAAAAGATCAATGCTGCATTCGTCCATCAACGAGCCCAGAAAAAATGCAAATAAACAAGCAGAGCGATGGTAGGTGTGTGGTAGGGTTACTATGACTGCAAACTAAAGCAATTTCACCTAAATCCTTTTGGGTCAAATGGTTCATAATGATAAATGGGACATGTTAAAGTGCAAATGCATTAATTCAGTACAATACTTCCTTTTAGGTTGGGGGACTTCAAGGTTACCTCTGGCTCTTGGTACTGACATTTAATGCACTTAATGGCTTAATTTATAAAATGTACGTTAACATGTTGCAACAATAAGAAATGTAAAAGAGCTGCATTAACACACAGACAGCGAAAAACCACCACTTTTACCCAGAAGACAGATTTCAGGGACCGCTACTTGTATTTTTATATTTTACTTTTATTTTCAGCCTCTGTGTTGGTTTGGGCACTAAAGCTGTTGGTTAGGTTTAAGAATATATCCTCACCTCAGCACCTGTGTCGGCTGATTTGCTGAAACAGGCCGCCATCACATTAAAGGACAATATGTTGTAGAGTTGTGCATGCATGCAGTGCATCAATTCTTCTAACTGTGAGGAAGAGGAGGAGGTAACTCTCATTTAAAAAAAACTACAGACGCCTTGCATTGTAATATAATGGGGTTGCCTTGTCATGGTCCTGCGCCACGTTGGCCCAGTATTCTTAGTTTTCGTGTGTTTTGTTCTTTATTTATGCCGTGGTTCCTGGGTTCTGTTAAGATGCTCCTTATTTGATTACCCTCTGTGTATCTGTGAGCCCTCGTCTCTCCTTGAGTTTTATTCCATGTGTTCCCCAGCCCATTATGTCTGTGCTCTCTCTCTCTCCTCCTGTCTGAACCTCTGTGTACTTCCTGTTTTACTTTGACAGTCTCCCGTCAGTGTTGCGTTACTCCTGCCGTGTCTTGTTATGATTATCTGTGTCAGCTGTGTTCCCCGTGTGCTCCCACTTCCCTCGTTAACCCTCTGTGTATTTATGTCTGCGTCTCCCTCAGTTCTGTGTCGTGTTCTCCCGCATTCATGGCCGTGTGTTTCTCTGTGCAATATGTTATAGTTTCCGGTTTAGTTTGTATGGTTTTTCTGTCCAGCAATAAAGCTGTGTTTTGAGTTCAATCCTGCCTCCGTGAGCGCTGCGTTTGGGTCCTCATCCTGCCTGCACACAGCCACAACCATGACATGCCTTCACCCAACAAAAGAGTCAAATTGTATAAAAGTATGAGAAAATGATCCTACTGCTCACTTCATTTGTGACCTCAATAAACACTTTCCTGATGAGTTTATGGCCTCAATATTTTCAAGTCATTTTGAATACATGTTTATTTAGTCAATTTTATACACGTTTGTCACGTCACTACCACACTGAGCACGCAGCGTCCCTCAGTTTCTGAAGCATATGTCCAGAGTTTCTAAGCTCACCTTGAGGTTTCACAAACAGGATTTTTCTTTCAGTCTGTGTTCGATCAACATCGTTTTAAAATATGAACATGACTTTAACAGTAGCAGCAACACAGCCTGTAATCCATACAGTTTGCAACCACTGAACATAATGATATGAATGAAAGGCCCAAAGGTCCAGGTGCTTCTCTTTTAGATCCGAATGTCCCTCAACAATTACCAATGTTGTTCATGCAAAAAGCACAAAAATCCCAGTGCACATATTCAAGAAATGCTCAGATCAGTTTGATTTATTAGCTCAGTTCTACAGTTTCTGTGGCTTAAAGATGGGTCTCTGTATTGTTGTTGATAAATTTGCTGCTCCGTTCTCCTGTCTGTACTGCTTCCTATCCCTTGTGTTGATGCCACTTTATTACAATCACAGTAACAGTAATTTTATTTTTCAGCAGTTGAAATGATAAGCTTAGGCAACCCCATTATATTACAATGCAAGGCTTCTGTAGTTGAAATGATAAACTTTAGGGGTGCAAGTTCCCTAAAATACAAAACATAAACAACATGGGCTTTTCCAACTACTGCTGATGTCCACTTTCCCCACGTGAGTCATGTGCCACGTTTTCTAAATTGTGATTACCTCTGATTGAATATTTTGACACCCATCTGCGTGCATCGCCCCTTCCTGCCTTAATGTTGCGTGCATTGGTGGTCCAAAGCAAGAAAGAGACTCTGACCTTTCATGTCACAGATATACCTGGATGTTCTCTACATTGCAACAATAAAAATACACAAATGATATTGAATTTTCACTGAGATGCAGTTCTGGGTTTCTTTTTAACCGTGTTAACTCCACTGGACTACATCATGTGCATTTTTGCTTGTTTCACGTGCTTGTATCACGACCTTACTTTCTTTTTATAAGGCACCAACTGGACTCTGTGACTGGTGCAGCAAACACACGAGCACCTAAGCTATCCACGCGTGTACGTAACTAAAACAAGCTGCGTGATATTTATTGTTGCTTTTCTTTCATTCTTGGCTGCCTTCCGTTAATTTTCCGGTTAAGTATCAAACTGCTTCTAAAGTAAAAAGATATTTGGATACTGGCGGTGGCACTACTGCAGTCTTGCCATTTTCCTCATCAGTGCTCGTGCTGCTGGTCCAATATTCAGTCCAATACTGCAGCCTTTCTGGCAGGGAGCGCGCCTCCAAATTTACCCTCCCGCTGCGCTCGCTCCCCGTACCTTAAAAAACGCGTGCACGGCTGAAGGTCACTTAAACACAAAAGGCTTTCAGCGCTGCGGTCCAATATAGCGCATGCGCGCTGCCGGAGGACTGCTTCACAGACCGCAATATGGCGAGAATGCCTGGCAGCGGAGACACGGAGCAGGAGCAGATGAGCTGCCCCGAGAGGAGCAGGGATGAGGAGGAGGAGGAGGAGGAGGAGGAGGAAGATGAAGATGAGATTCAGGAGGTCCAGATCACCGGGGAGGAGGAGGACGAGGAGTCCGACAGAGATGGAGTGGAGTGGGAGTCAGGGAGCACAGTGCTGGACTCCAACGGTTCCGCCGCGCAGACACAAGCGGTCGTTATGCGGAGTATGGACCGAAGGGAGGAGGGGGAGGCGGACCCACTCGGCAGCAGCATCCCCTCCGGGCGCGAGTCTCACCCGGAGGGAGAACTTCAGCGGTCAGAGCGAAACAAGCTGAGCGAGAACACCCGCCTGGCCACCAGGTACGCCGTGAGGATCTTCAGGGAGTACCTCAGCGAGAAAGCCCAAAGTCCAGACTTTGAAACTCTGGACAAGGATGCGCTCTGCGCTGTGCTGCGCTCCTTTTACGCCGAGGCGCGCTCCAAAAGTGGACAACTGTACAGCAAGTCCTCCCTCATCAGCATCCGGAGCTCTCTCAATCGGTACTTGAACGAGCCGCCCTACTGCCGCACCTTGGACCTCACCAAGGACCCAGAGCTGCGCAGCGCCAACCTGACCCTGGCCGCGGTCATACGGAGGCTGGAGGAGCAGGGTGCCGGTCCGGTGGTGCAGAAACAAGCCATCACGCGCTCGGACCTGCGGAAACTGTACGAGTCCTCTGTGTTCAACACCGACACCCCGTTTGGGCTTCTGAACAAAGTCTGGTTTGAGACCTGCATGTATTTCTGCACCAGGGGAAGAGAGAACCAGCGGGAGCTGGAGGAGGACTCGTTCGGCCTGGCCGTGGACGAGGACGGAAGAAAGTTTGTGTATTTTAAAGCTCTCGGACCCTATCACAAGTCCCGCTCCGCCGCCTGGACCAAGAAGCGCCCGGACGCAGACGAGGACACGCTGCCGCGCATGTACGAGACGGGCACGGAGCAGTGTCCGTACGCCAGCTTCGTCCGGTACGTGTCCAAACGGAACCCGCTGTGCAGGGCGTTCTTCCAGCGGCCCCGGGACCACTGCTGCGCGAGCGACGTGACGTGGTACGAGAACAAAGCCATCGGGAAGAACCTGTTGGGCACGAGAATGCAGATGTTGTCGCGCGCTGCCAAGCTCTCGAAAACCTACACCAACCACTGCATCGGTGCCGTCTCCATAGCAACCCTCAACAGCATCGTGGGGGCCGCGGGCTTCAAGCCCTCGACGACGCTTTACGTTGCCTCGGAAACGGTCAATGGTCACGCGCAGTCCCACCTCCAGCTCGTGATCCCGTACCTGCGCAGGGTCAGCGACGCTGCGGATCTGAATCAGCAGCAAAGCACAGAAGCAGAGACGTCGAACACATCGCCTACATCAGCAGCAGCAGCAGCAGCGAGGAGGGAGAGCAACGAGGACGACCCGGGAGCTCCCTCTGCCAAGAAGCGCTGTGTGCGCCCCGGGACGCGCGCCGAGTCGCCCGCGGAGCCGAATGAGAGAGAGTCGGTGCCTGCCACAGCCACGGAGTCCCGTCTCGCACAGTCCGGCGCCCGGTCCCCTGTGCCCACAGAGGTAACCCGGAACATGTTGGTCCGTTTTCATCTGTTGGAGCTTCAAGCCTCCCGTGTTAAACCCGACAGCCAGTCAGTCCCGTACCGATGTGACGCCCATCTTTAGGAGGAGAGTTAGTTAAGAGCGCAATAAAATATTAAACTAGTAGGTGTTTAAGGTGGGCTGTAATCTATGAAAAACTTTATTTGAACTGCTTTATTAGGGGCTTAAAGTAAAATTAAAATAAACAGACGCTCAGGAAAAGCATACCTATTCGAGTTGGCTACCTTAGTAAGCACTCTGACTTTATTTCTCTTCTCGGGCAAATACAACGTGATGCCTTTAAGAAGTACATCAGTATCAGGGTGAACTTCCTGTTACAGGGACATCTGGGATCAGATCAGCCTAATAAATACAGAGAAATAAATAAAAACAAAATACAGATGCCGAACCATTGCACCCTTCATTTACAAAGCAATTCATCACTTTTGTGTTATTTTCACGTCGTATAATCTTGAACATGACATAAAACATCTGTAATCATGTAGTTTACTTCAGTGGTGCCACAGTGTGAAAATCGATGCACATAAAGACCTACAAACACTAACCTGGAAGCCTAATTAAGCGTTCAGTTCTTTAGATCTAGGTTGTAATTGGATACCAAAACATTACACGTGCTCAGTTTTTCAGTGAAATAATGAAAGTAGAATTTAGCTTAAAGTCCTGTACCAGAGTTTGTGCACCCTTTATTCTGAATTACAAACATATAAAACCATTTGCACAACATCAGCTCTAGTGCTTGGTACGAGGGAAAATCATTACTTTGTAGTCACAAATGTTTATCACTAAGGGCTGCACAGAAATATGTACATGCATTTGTCTGTGAAGGTTCTCAGTCATGCAGGTCATCGTAGTCTAAGGAGCTTGGAAAGAAAAGCGTCTGGACTCGTTTAAGTTGCTTGAAGATGTTTCTCCTCTCACCCAAAAAGCTTCTTCAGTTCAGTTCCCCCAGATGTACATGCATTTGTTTGTTTTTAAATCAGTAGTAAGTGGATAAAAAATGATCTGATTGTACATTTTTATATTTTTGTTACTTAAGTTGCTCTGACGTAAACATAATGCAGAATTACAGAATCTCACCCTGTAGGAAACTGTGTTGTCCATGTGGCCCAATCATGTGAGGAGAAGCAGTGATTTGTCTTTGGGAGTGTCCCTCTGTTGCCAAGGGTAACTATACCTGCTGATGAATTTATCCACCATGCATTAGTGCCATAGCTGCAGGGTACAGACTGCTTGTTGGGCAGTCACAACACGCACACACACGCACACGCGCACACACACGCACACACACGCACACATGGATTATATAGATGTGATAATCTGTACCTGCTATACATCGTGTGAGGCCGGTGTCTCAGCTGTTTGTTTGCCCTTCATGGTGCTTACTCTGATATTTATTCATATGTAATTTGATCATATGTCATATGTACATACAAGCAAAGAATTAAGCAAAATGTTAAAATTATGAATTAGACAGTTGAACTGTTTGCGCTCTCTGAGGTTATAAAATTAAGGTCAAGGGAGACGAGGCAGGAATGTGAAAGGTCACAGCAGAAATCCTTTAACGGCACCGAGTCATTCAGGAGGAGCTCGGAGTAGAGAGACTCGTCCTCCACATTAAAAACTACCAGCTGAGGTGTTTTGGGGATTTATCTAAGATGCCTCTTGGATGCCGTCTAGATGAGGTGGTTCCTGTATGCTCTTCTGTAAGGAGACCCTGGGAAAGCCCCAGAACAAGCCAGAGAAGAGTTTGTCTACTGTCTGGCTTGGAAACACCTCAGTGTCCTCTTCAGAGAGCTGGAAGCACTGGCAGGAAGAGGAAGGTCTGCTTATCTCTGCTTAAACCGCTGCTTACACTCTTACACTGCTGTTTTCTTTAGCAGTGCCGGTCGTTGATTACTTAGCAAGTTAATCCCTTACATATTCATCTGTAGCCCTTATTGTAGAATTGCTCCATATTATCATAACATATAAACTGGCACAGTGCTACAGCTTATGTAGCCAGTAACAGCAAATGTTCAGGGCATATCCTCACTGCAGACCATTCACATTTAGTGTTCAGTGTAGTTGAACTGACATGAACACCATCGTTTGGAGCAGAACAGGTTTGAAAGGAGCCGTTGGAACAGAATGAAAGGAAACGGCGGATCAGTCTAGAAGAGCAGAGTGAAAGCCCAGAGGACGTGTGTTCCCAGCCTGTCAGCCACTGGCCTCCTACCAGGCTGCCAATTGTTTCTTTCAGAGCTTAATGATTTGTTTCGTGCCAGACACCTGGCACTATAACGTAGCCTACAAGGCAGTCAGGAATAGCTCTGACCGAGCCGTATCTGTGAGCCTGACAGGATGTCCTTGTGCTTCTTAGCTTCCTGTCAGGCTCCTGGCTTTACCTGACAGTCCCGAGTCTGCCTGGCAGGAACTGTTCTAAGCAACCAGCTCCTCTGTAAAACTGTTCAGGTCAGGTTTGCCAGCCTGCTTGCAGGTTTTTATACAAACATCGACGAGACCCAGTTTGGCTTCAAGCGCAAAACATCTTTCAGGAGCTGCAGATAGATGCATTTATTATGGAGCATGACTTCATGACAACACGCAGAGATTTCTCTAGTTTAACCTGCAGCAACCAGCTGTTCACATAAAGGTTGAGGGTGCTGCACTTTGGGTTGCAGAGGTGGTTGTGCAGTTCGCCTTGTTGTCTCCAGCCTGTCCAGCTCGGTGGCAGAGAGAGGTTTGCAAATAATTGCTGCATAATTTATAAACACAGATTGCCAACATGTTGCAATCAGTTACATTTACTCTGCAAGCGGTCGCAAGTTAATACATAACTTGTGGGCGGCGATGAAAATGAGTGTGCTGAAGGGGACAAATCTCCCCTCTTTGCTATATTTCCTGCCTCTCCTCAATCATTTTGATTTATCACAGATTGCACGTAAACGAAAACTTGATCCAAACTGATAGCAGGCTGCCTTGTTGCTGCCTTGTTGCTGCCTTGTTGCTAAATTGTTGTTTAAACAGACACATAGCAGTTCCATGACTTGGTGATAAATATGTTCCAATGTATTAACTGTAAAGATAACCTATGTCCATGGATGTGGAGATATTCATGGCTATGTTTGGTCTTTTTTTCATATACTGGCACCACCATCACTGCAGCGTGTATTTGTGTCCCAGGACAGACGTAGCAGCGGCAGCTGCAGCAGCATGTCGAGTCAGAAGCTGGCTTCTTGGTCTCCGATGTCTCCCCCGTGTACCACGGGAATCCCAGCACCAGCTCAGCTCACCAAAACCAACGCACCAGTTCACATTGATGTAGGAGGACACATGTACACCAGCAGCCTGCCCACACTCACCAGGTACCCCGAGTCAAGGTGAGGCACACATCCAAGCTTTTAAAGTACATTCCCCCCATTAAAATACACAGGATGGCTGGTGGACGTATGAGTAAAGCTAAGGCTGTAATCCACCTCAACACCTCAATATCAAAAGCTCTTAATCAACAAATTAGTTCAACATTACTGATTATTTTGAATATCTGCTACCTTAATTATCACATTTCAATACAAATGGATATTTTTCCTATGATTCAGGAAACAGAATTTTAGTATATTGAGTTGGTTTTAATGGCTTCTCTGCAAAATATAGAAAGAGTTTGCTTTTCAGTTATTTGTTCAGAAAGTTTAAATCTGTGAATAGTTTAACAGGCAGCGGTGATCTACTTCCTGCTTCATGGGGAAAAGGTGGCCTGCTGTCCACACATTAAGGAAAATGCAGATATCTCAACTCATCAAACAGCGAAGATTTGATTAAAAAAGCCTCATAATCTCGATCACTGTACACTGTTACAATAAACTTGATCATCTTTGAACCTACTTTTTAAAATTAACTTAGCATTTACCCTTCAGTGAGCTAGGAAATGATTTAGCTGCAACATGTACATTTAAATTTAGCCACAGCTGAGTGTAGAAACCTGTTTCCTTCTCTTTGGGCAGAATCGGGCGTCTGTTCGACGGCACAGAGCCCATCGTGTTGGACAGTCTAAAGCAGCACTACTTCATCGATCGGGACGGGGACATGTTCCGCTACATACTCAACTTCCTGCGAACCTCCAAGCTCCTCCTGCCTGATGACTTCAAAGTGAGTGCCTGATCAGGTACTTCCACAGTTCACCGCTGCTGCTGCGTGACCTAAAGCAGGGAAACAAATGTCAAAAGAAAGACTTGAACCCCTGTCAGAGTCTCACACGAGCCTGTCGCTTACAGTACTGAGACTTCTTTGAGTGACTCTGTTGCCCTTTTCTGTATTTTCTGTCATATTCTCTCAAACATCATAAAAATGACCAATAGATAAACTGCAGTAAAATAAATGAGTATTTGTTCCATTACTCTAGGAAGGCAACATGTTATGGCAGCAAAATGACCCCAGATCTCAAAACTGATTAATGCATGGAAGGATTTATAGTAGCAGTGGCTTAATGTTTGCATCAGGGAAATTACCTGTTATCAACATTGTGAGACTTCAGGCGAGAAACAGGCAGCAAGTCCGTGCCAAAGACACATTCATTCTCTTCATTAATTCTTCATCACAATTATGACAGCCCAAACAGAAACTGCCTGCAGCCAGCGTGTGCAAACTTCTTCATTGGCTTGTAGCAGCTTTCAAATGAATCAGAAGGTTTTGTATGTGATTTGTTTATAGAATAAATGAAAACGAGAGTCTTCCTTCGGTTAGTGTGTTAGCAGCAGAGCAGCTGCTACCAAGGCTTTAGTACACCTTTAGTACTAAAGTACTGAACGAGCGTTTATATGTGTTAATGCATTTTTTAAACTTTGTTTTTTGCAAGAAAACGTGGAGTTTTCTGCATTTTTTGGTGGGTGTTGTGTACTCATCTGCATGTGTGTGTATTTGTGTGCATTGTGCGTGTTCTTTTGGCCTGTGTAAGTCTGCACTTATGCTTCTGAGAGTGTTTTCTTGTTTCTGCTGTGTGTGTGTTTGCAGGAGTACTCCCTGCTCTACGAAGAGGCTACTTTCTTCCAGCTGGCACCTCTAAAGACCGAGCTGGAGCGCTGGAGGGCTGAGCAGGAGCGCCGGGACGTTTCTCGAGACTGCGAGTGCGTCGTGGTCCGCGTGACGCCGGAGCTCGGTGAGAGGATCAGTGTGAGTGCATCCCGGGCGCTGATGGAGGAGATTTTCCCTGAGGTGACTGATATCGTCTACAGTTCTATGAACGCCAGCTGGAACCAGGACCCCACACACGTGCTCCGCTTTCCGCTCAACGGCTACTGCCACCTCACCTCAGTTCAGGTACATAACATCCTCTGAGCCACACTGGTTTATATTCTCTCAACATGTCAGATGCTGGAGTGAGCAACTCAAAGCATTTAAGTATGTAGACACAGTCAAGACAGCCTGCAGAAGTTCACAGAGTATCGTGGTTGTTGGTGGCAGACGGGCAGCTCAGAGTGTTCCAGAAACTGCTCATCTTACATGGAATGGTTGGAAAAGTCAAAAATATCCAGTTTTTGAGTCAAAATGCCTCGTTAATACCAGACCACAGCTGACAGGAAGAAAACAGGGACTCGAATAACAGCTTGTTACAACCAAAGTGTGCAGGAGAGTGTTTCTGAATGCACAACATGTCAGACCTCGAAGCGGATGGGCTACAGCAGCAAGAGCCCACAGCTGCTGCTGTCAGCTAAAAACAGGAAACTGGTGGTACAGCTCACCTACTTTAGACAATGGGAGACTGAAAAACATCGCCTGCTCTGATGAGCCTTGATTTCTGCTGCAATGTCGGATGGAAGGTCATAATTTGACGTAATCAACATGAAAGCTTATATTCATCCTGTCATAGGTTGTTTATACACCACAGCGTCTGGACTGTTGCTTCTGTCCATCCTTCATAAAGATGGACGTGTTACACGGGACCTGGAATTTAGAAGTTCACCGTCCAGACACCCAGTGTGAGAGAGTCAAGCTAAACAGCCGCCGCTGTGATAGCTGTGTTCAATGCACCGTCTCAAGCTGCAGCTTAACTAAAGGAGTCAAGATGATATCTGGGACTCTAAAATGTGCCGTCGCCTGTTATCTGTCAGCTCCGTCTTTGGCAGATGCCACCCTTCCACCATCCATCAAAGCCTGATGTGTTTTTATGTGATGTTAGCATACTCTGAATGCTGACAGTCGGTTTGTAACAGCGCTGTGTTGAGGCGGGTGACACATTTCATCACCTGAAGGTCTGCCTTTGTCTCCCGGGGGAGATCTCAGTAAGACAGACCAGCAGCACAGAGAGCAGAAGCCTCCAGAGGGCAAACTGAGATAATGTCACCGCGTTCACCTCAGGAGGAAACGCTCAGAGAGGGGAACTAATGGACTACTTCTGAAGTGTTTGTGTTTCAGGCCAGATAGGCTGATGGGTTTCTTGAGATGGAGAGTGACCCTGGGTCCTGAGGCTCACATGTTGTTAGCAACACATTTAAACGCAAACACAAAAGAAGTGCAGAGAATAACCGTAAATCAGTAAGACACAGATTCGCTGCTTGCTTTCCTTTGTTGTCATACTTACTGAACACAAAAACATCTGGTTTGTGTCAAACACTCTTTCTAATGAAAATGCAATGATTTGACCATTTCATAATAAGTCAGGGGAAAGAACAAAAACAGAGCTCAGACATTAAGTGTTTACGGGAGGTTTATAAAGTAAAGTTAGCCATCATGACTGACCTGAAAACAGTTGGATTGAGGTACTTCACGTGGTCTGGTAAAGGCCTAACAATAATAGAGCAAAAACCCTAACAATCAGATGACCCCGTATGAGCAAGCGCTTGGTGACACTGGCAGGATGAACTTCTGTGGAACAACCAGGCTCAGGGAGGGGCAGCCATCTCCAGAAACTGTACTGAAGAGAGCCAGAGTTTAAAAACAGCTAATAATTAAATGCAGTGTTGGTTATAAACGCATAGAGAGTAAATCCAAACTGGGAGTTGGTACCACAGGAAAGATTGGATTCTGGATTTACCATTGTGTAAAGCACAGTGGCTCCAGCACACAGCCCTGTGGAGCGCCATATTAGCCTTAGTGTGTGAAGAAGACTCCCCATTTACACGAACTGAGTTTATTAGATATTATTCAAACCCCTGTAGAGCTGTACTGTTAACACTACTAGTGTGTTCTGATATCTACAGTAAGTTACTGTGATTATCATAATTAGGGTTGAAGCACTAATTAATAGCTGAACTTCGCCCCAGCCTGCAGGTTTCTTCCACAGGAATGTGTCTTTCTGTGGTAGCAAGCATCTGTAACCCAGTGGGCTATTTATCCCCTTTTACCTACTTTTCCACATAGAGACTTGATGCTTTGATTAAATACTGACTATATCTACAATATCTAACGAGCTGCCCAAGGAAATCAGGTCAGATGAGTTGAAGGCAGCTTACACTGCCTCTTAAACCATACTTTACTGCAGAGGCTTCAATTTCAGAGTCTATTTCTAAACTGTTTAAATGCCTTTGTGTATTGGGGTGGTTATTATGTGCTCTGGTGCGTAAGTATTGATACCAGGGAGTATTTGGTAAAGGTGTGATAAAGTTATTGGTATGCATGATGGTGAAAATGAGTGTTTTTAATGCATGCACTTCACAGGTTCAACTCTTGTAGCGAACAACCGGGTGGAAACGCCATCAAATGCTGAACAAGTCCCACCTTCCTTCAGTATTCCTGACTCCAGCGAGACAGAGATCACGTCTAAATGTTTTGCTCTGGATCTTCTCGTTATGCCTCATTCTTTGTTGCTGTTATTTGGTTTGTGTCTGACTGCAGGTGCTGGAACGGCTACAGCAGAAAGGTTTCTTTATCACAGGGTCGTGTGGCGGCGGAGTGGATTCCTCCCTGTTTAGTGAATACGTCCTGCGACGGGAGATCCAAGGCAGACGCCCCCTGATCCTCAAAGCAATAAAACAGGAACTCCTGCATTAAATTCAGAAGACCTGATTGCACATCTGTTCTGTGCAAGTGCGTGGACAGTTTGTCACATGACACAGACTCCCTCACTGCAGCAGAACAGTGAAACAAAGCGGGACGTGCAAAACGTGGTCTAATCTTCAAACGTGAACGTAAGGTAGCACCTGAATTAAAAGACAACACGGCCATCCTTTCACCAATTTATTTCATCACATTGATGCAAGATATGTTTTCTTTCCTGTGATTCCCAAAATTGTCCACATTAACTGTCAGTCTGTGTCACGCTACCAGAGTGAAATCCAGCCATTACAGTAAATAAAGCTTTTTCAAAGAATAAATGTTTTTAATAATTTGTGATGAAATAAAAACACGCAAGAGTTGTTTTTTTTTAGATTTGTTGGAAATCAAGAACTCGATTCTCGTCTTTAAAGGTATTCAGACCTTTAACTCTGCGCTTTGTGAATGCGTCTTTGGCAGCAGTGACAGCCTCAGGTCTTCCTGTCTGCTCTTCTCGAGCTTAGATTGGATGAAAGCATCAGTTCTGTAGTCCCGCACACGCGTGCGTTATATGTAACCAATTCTCATTTTCTCCTTTAATGCACACATATGTAACCATGTGGGCCTCACATCAAATCTGTACACAAACATTTGCATTTCAGATGTGAGGCAGTGGCCCACAGATCGTCAGAAACAGGTTTTCACAGCTGATGCTGGTTTCTGTGCTTTCAACAGTTGCATTGAACAGTGTAAATATGAAGGCATGAGCCTTGCCTGCATGAACCTTTACATTCATATTTAATACTTGCGAAGACCATCAGTTACTTTTACCTGATGCAAGCGTGACAGGTTTATTTTTGGTACGGCAAAAACACAAAAACGTGTAACAAACCGAGCTTCTCAGTTATATTTTTAAGCCTTAATTTCATTTATGGCATGCAACGTTTTTACTGTAGAAGCACAATTTTTCTCCTCATGCTTTGAGAACTTACAAGAATCTACAAAAAAGAAATGAATGCATTTTGTATTTGGTTTTTCAAACGTGTTTTAAGGGACAGCGAATCAGTCCCACATTGTATATTCACGTCATCTTTTGTTTTGCATAATTACCTGTAAGATCATTTTATGAATGAAGAACTGAGACTCTTTAAAAGGCTAAATGCACAAATCTGTCATGAATTTTATTTTGAAGGCAAAACTTTGATTCTTCATTTGTTAGTGGCATCGTGCACTTTGAACAGCTCAGACATTTGGAAAATGTGCTTGTCTGACATTAAGAGGACAGATCGACCTCATATTCATGTACAAAGGTGAACAAACGATAAATAGAAATCTCCTGCCGCTGTGCAAACGGTTAACTAACACGAGTAGCCATCAATCAGATCACAACAAGAAAACAAAGGAGCACATTTTCCAAACGTTGAGCTAATCATGTAAAAATATTAGGAAAACTGGTTTGATGCTGCTTTCTGGCACTTCATTGATGACACCGGAGTGCAGGGAGGCTTCACGCCAAACAATTATGTAAGAAACCACAAAATGCTCGAGAGGACCTGGTTCAATAAAAGACATTTGCCACATTTCATGTTACTCTTTATTACCTGCTGTGCTTTAACTCTAACAGCGTCTGATGTTGGGATGCTAAGTTCAGCTAAACCAGAGTTTGCAGTTTTACATTTAACCGAACCAACACTGCGTGTGTGTAAATGACATCCTTAAACATGCGTCCACAGCTATAATCACTGCGTCTCCATAATCGACTGCAGTGTTGATCTGTGGTCATGGGCACAGCTGCCTCGTGTGCCACATGTTGGCCTTCAACTAATATTACTGAGAGAAAACGTTGAAACAGATATATAAAAACAAAGCAGTGGGATTTAAATATGTCATTCTTCATCCATCAGACATGTTTATAACCCTACTTGTCTTTTCTTGTTAGTCACAGCATAGATCTAAAATGGAGTAAGAGCGGGGCGATCGTGGCTCAAGAGTTGGGAGTTCGCCTTGTATTCGGAAGGTTGCCGGTTCGAGCCCCGGCTCGGACAGTCTCGGTCGTTGTGTCCTTGGGCAAGACACTTCACCCGTTGCCTACTGGTGGTGGTCAGAGGGCCCGGTGGCGCCAGTGTCCGGCAGCCTCGCCTCTGTCAGTGCGCCCCAGGGTGGCTGTGGCTACAATGTAGCTGCCATCACCAGTGTGTGGATGTGCGTGTGAAGGATGACTGGATATGTAAAGCGCCTTGGGGTCCTCAGGGACTAGTAAAGCGCTATATAAATACAGGCCATTTACCATATAAGAGGTGTCAGAAGGAAAACTAAAAGACTCGACGCCAACAAAGAGCAAAGAAATCCCTGCTGTTAGGCTGCTGATGATCCGAGATGTGATTCCAGGTTTATGTGAACCAGAGAACATTTTCACATTTGTCCTTCACTCTGGGCTCATGTACAAACACCTGTAAGCACTGAACTGGACTCTGCAGTGCAACAAGCAGCAGGATCAGTGCTGGGATCAGCTGTACGTGAAAATAGCCCCGCTGCTTGATCCATTAATCTCAGTCAATGCTTTTGTGATGGAGTTTATGGTCTTTTTAATCTTACAGACCTATTTGTTGCACCACTTTGTTCACTTTCTCAGTTATGGTCTCGTTAGCGTCATAATGGAGACGAGTCGACCGTGGCCACGGTGACACTCGTGTGGTAAAATTCATCTTTTATAGAGTCTATTGTTGTCTTACTGCGGAGGCTGCAGTTAAATATTGACAAGTCATTAGCTAATGAACGTTACGTAGTGTGTTTCTGAGTAGGGCTGCCACAAACGATTATTTTGATAGTCGACTAGTCACCGATTATTTTTGCGATTAGTCGACTAATCAGATCATCATCCATTAGACGTAAAACGTACAGCTTATTGCACCAGCAGCATCTGCTCTTATATAACTATCATTAGCTTACAGCTTTAAGTGTTTAAGGTCTGTGCTAACTAAAAATAAAGACAAGATGATAGTTTATTAAATTTTAATGAAGTTTTCAGATTGTTTCGGTGAAGTTTAATAAACTCCTTGCTATCTAAAATATAACAGGACACCGGAGTAAATTCTCCAGCATCTCACACTTCTGATAATCAGCTGTCTGCTTGACGTTTATTCAGCTGTGTAAAAACTATAACTTTAATCTCAGCCAAACCGATTTACTCAGGAACAAATAAAATACTAAAAAAAGCCAAACAATAACATTTTTAAGTTATCTAAGTGACTCATATATATTTAACCTGAGTAGCGAAAGACGGCGGTGGGTTTGAAAACGATTTGCGGGGAGTCCGGTGTTCTCACGGCGCTAGTAAGCCTAGCCCCCGGCTCGCTAACGAGCTAGTGGGTAACAGACGTCTCCGAAAACGTCGGAGCGCTTTTGAAAATATGTGGTGTCCTGATAAACTGAGCAGATATTTGAGGTTTGCACAGCTACATTCTCGCCTGAAAATATGTTAAACGTTTATTTTGTGACCCAGAAAGAATAATAAGAGTAATATTAAAACTAACTAGCTGCCGCCATTGTTGGAAACTGCGCTGGGCCGCGCTATGAATTCTGGGACACAGCTGCTTCTTCTTCTTCTTCTTCGGGGTTTAACGGTAGCTGACATCCTTGTACATGCAATGCTGCCATCTTCTGTTTCAGTCCGTTATTACACTCTTAAATCCTGCTACTTATTCCTGCGTCTTTTGTGATCGTACAAAGTTTCAAACGACGCGTCGACTATTAAATCAGTCGTCGACGATTTTGATAGTCGACGTAATCGTGACTAGTCGACTAATCGTGGCAGCCCTATTTCTGAGTCTAATGGAGATTCTGTTTGACAAAAACTTAAAGTTGTATTCAGTGACTGAGCATACAAAGTCATTAGGAGCCAATCGCAGGAAAGCTCAGATTTTTGGCATCTGACTTAATTTTCTGAAGTTTTGTAAGACTAGAAATGTCAGGTTTGTGGGCGCTTCCAGCGGGCTGGTGCTTCTTCATGCTACCTGAAAACATCTTGCTAAGGTTATTTAAGATTGTTCCCTGGCTGTTGGTGTGGATGCAAGCGACAGGCCAGAACTGCACCGCATCACTGAGTTCAGCTACGCTTAATTACAGCAATGAGCTATCCGACTGACAGCATCGTGCCAACAGCCCATATTACAAATCAAGTCTTTAAGTAATTGTAGCACTGACCAGCTACACTTACCCTCACATCAAGCAGTCACACAGCTGATCACCTACTCAACTCAGGGTTTCCCAGTTTAGCCCAGAGGTGGGACCAAGTCATTGTTTTGCAAGTCTCAAGTAAGTCTCAAGTCTTTATCCTCAAGTCTCAAGTCAAGTCTCAAGTAATGTCAGGCAAGTCAGAGTCGAGTCTCAAGTCACTGGTGTAAAAGTCCGAGTAAAGTCACAAGTCTGAAATTTTGAATTTCAAGTCCTTTCGAGTCTTAAAAAAAAAAAAAACCACGAAAAAAAGCATGTTGCAGTTTTATGCTAAATGTAAATATTAGACCATGTAATTTTTAAATCTGTTTTTCTCAACACATGACAAAATAGTGAACTTAGAAAATATACACAAATTGTGAAATTGCACCTCTTTAAAATGCAGCTCAATTAAACCTAGCTCCAAGAATAATTTTCACCGACAGTTCTGAGATAAGCTGCATGTCATTCTTGGATGCGGTTGTAGGACCAGCTTTAAAATCGCATGACAAAAATATCATACATAAATAAATGATATTTTTTTTAAAATATCATTTAAAAAAAAAAAAAACAAAAAACTGCATCACCAACGTAGCCTGGAAAACATTTGCTAGTTAGATGAAGTCAACTATCTCATTGTAGCATATTTATATGCATATTTATAATTATAGCTTCTTGGAGTGAGTGCATACACTCATGAAGTTTAGTAACTTCCGGTCACTGCAACAAGCCCAGGTACAGTTTACCGACGGATGGGTGCAGGACCTTGAAATGCACCGTGTAGAAAGTAAAGACCATCGTACGTATCATAAGTTTACCAGTCTCACAAATTGTCGTCATAAATACACATTCCTTAACCGTTTATTAATATAACCTTTGAGCTCAACGGTAATTAATTAGTAGTGGAAATAATTTCTGGTAGCATCACAGAAATGTAGCAGTGACAATAATACTGTATGCTGTAATCGTACTGGGCAATTAGTGATACAAAAAACCTGTTTTATCCTGTGAATAAAAGTATATGTTTTTGTCAATGTACCATAATAACAGAAGCGAAACGCAATATTGTGTCAGGACAATTCACTATTTATGCACAATAAACAAAGGAGCATAGCGCGACAATTTCTGTTCAGCGCCAGACTTGCTTGTAACCTATATCACCAATTATGTTAAGAAAAATGACGTATTAACTACAACAGCAGACTGACCTGTGTGTAAATGCTTGGAGCAGACTAACCTGTGAGCTGGAGTGTTCTGGGACGTTATAATTGGTCTTTGAATGGCTGCAATCCAGTCGCGTCTTTGTTACTTCGGAAACATGGCTCGAACAATTTCTCTTCCACGACGTAATCCGATAACAACCGATCTCTTTACCCGTCGGCTTCCCGTGGCTGTCGTGCGACCGGCTATTGCAGTTAATAATACAACAGCTTCTTGACATTTTTGTGTTTCTTTTTATCGCTGTATAACTGATTTTAATTGAAAGCCTGCGTGCGCTAGTACCGCTTGCCACGAGTTCCCAGAATCCTTTGCGGTTCTACCCGTGAATGACGTCACATTTTCAATCTCTATATAATATGCATGTTAAATTTTATATTTGGGGTAAAATATCAAGTCTTTTCAAGTAAACCGGTTCAAGTCCAATTCAAGTCCCAAGTCATTGGTGTAAAAGTCCAAGTCAAGTCACAAGTCTTAGAACATTTTTTCAAGTCAAGTCTAAAGTCATAAAATTAATGACTCGAGTCCAAGTCATGTGACTCGAGTCCACACCTCTGGTTTAGCCAGGTTCATGGACAGGTATCCTGGCAGTAGATCGTATATTTTACAAACTATGAGAAAAATCATGTCATGGTCTCACAACTTGCAGCGAAGAAGAGAAAAAAGTAAGAAGTGAAGAATGTCCTTAATTTCTTTCCTTAATAAGTGCAAGTGAATATTTAGTTGGGCTGCTTCAAGCTACTGACTCCGGGGTCCAGAGTCAGCCTGAGACTCCGATTTATTATTTTTTTGAACCTTCATGACCCTAAAAACTCAGAGGTAAAACTACAGTTTCCTGGTTAAGCAACAAAACTTCCTTTGCACTACAGTCTTCTGTCGCAGAGGAAAGAATCTGCAACTGTAGGTAAGAAACAAAGACACAGTGAGATGTGCAATTTCAACATGTTTTTAATCGTGGAAAAAACCCAACAATCCAGCAGGAAACCACAGTCACTTTACTTTTTCCACACAGCTCACGGACACACAGCTGTGCTCACTTTCACATTTAGTTTTTCCAACAGAACAACAGCAAAACCAAAACTGACTGCGATTCAAATGCAGCTGAACCCGACCGTGACAAAAAGCAAAACAGAATATCACA